ATCGATGACTTTTTTCTATACACCATATTTTTCTTGAATCAGCATGGTTTTGTCACTGGTTAATGTTGCTGTTAGTCGTTTAACGTAACCAAACGACCAGACACAGAGAAGAAACACGAAGTCATATAGGTATATATAGACACACGTACGGAACAAACAATGACACAGAAACACAAAGATATGGTTGCATACACATTGACACACATGCCCAGAAACAAAAACAACACAGTCACTTTTACATAGGGAGTGAGTGAGTGAATATGGTTTTACGCCGCCTTTAGAAATTTCCCAGCAATATCATGGCGGTGGACATCAGAAACGGGCTTCACACATTGTACCCATGTCGGGAATCGAACCCGGGTCTTCGGCGTGACGAGCGAACGCTTTAACCACTAGGCTACCCGACCGCCCCACTTATACATAGGCTGAGTGCATGGTTTTACGCCACTCTTTACCAATATTCCAGCTATATCACGGCGGTGGACACCACAAATGAGTTTCCCACATTGTACCCATGCCGGGAATCGAACCCGGGTCTTCGGCGTGAAGGGCGAACGCTGTAACTACTTGGTTACCCCCGCCCTTGAAACGCACAGAAACAGACGACAGACAAAGACATACAGCCGCATAGAAAAATAGACTCTGATACACAAAGACACACAGTCACACACGTGCTGAAACACAGTACACATTCGGAAACACATCGACACGTGCAAAGAAACAAGGCCTCATACACAGTCACAAACACAGGGACACGTGCACAGACACAAGGCCTCATACACAGTCACAAACACATCGACACGTGCACAGAAACAAGGCCTCATACACACACAGTCACAAACACATCGACACGTGCACAGAAACAAGGCCTCATACACACACAGTCACAAACACAGGGACACGTGCACAGAAACAAGGCCTCATACACACACAGTCACAAACACAGGGACACGTGCACAGAAACAAGGCCTCATACACACACAGTCACAAACACAGGGACACGTGCACAGAAACAAGGCCTCATACACACACAGTCACAAACACAGGGACACGTGCACAGAAACAAGGCCTCATACACACACACAGTCACAAACACAGGGACACGTGCACAAGGCCTCATACACACACAGTCACAAACACAGGGACACGAACGGAGTGGGTGAATGGGTAAGCGGGTTGCGTTTAACACCGCTTTAACAGTATTCCAATTATATCACGGCGTGTCAGCTTAATGTGGGAGGAAGGCCCGAAGTGATGCAGGTCTCAGACGCTTACCACTTTGCTGAAACCCACGGGCACGGGTATGATGCTGACAAACCTAGAAACGTAATCAGGGAGAACCGGATTCGGACCATGCCTATAGGTTTCTGGCGTTCCCACGGGACGCAACTCTGCACAGCGAATTGCGGCGCCGTGGATATCTGGGCCACCCAAACTCGCACAGACGCAAAGACACATACACACAGTCACATACACATAGACACACGCAGAAACAGTATACTGATTCCGAGCCGACCAGTCCTTGTTTAAGCCCCTTAATGCCGAACGCCAGATAGGGTAACAGGTACTTACATGTATATTGTGACGTCTTTTGGCATGACGCGGCCGGGTATCGAACCCGGGTGGACGCTCTACCACTAGACCACGGAGGCGGTCCACACGCAGGAGCAAGTAGAAACGCTGATGCACAAATACACACAGTCACACACGCTCAGAAATAGACAAAGACACGGACTGACACAGTCATACTCTCAGAAATAAAGACACAGAAACACAAATACACACAGTCAATAACGCCCAGAAACACACAAAGACACAGTCACAAACACATAAACACACGCGCTGAAAAAGACAAAGACATACACACACACACTCACAGAGACACACACACACACATTCGCACACACGCACAGTCACGTGCACAATCGCGGAAACTAAGGCACATATTTGTACCCACAAAGACAGAATCACACACACAAAATATATACACGCCGGATATTCAAACATAATTGGCAACATAACTATTCCGGCGAAGGTTCTGTACTTTGTCAAGATGACATAAACCGTGAAGATCTGGGGTAGAATAGGTCTTCAGCAACCCATGCTTGCCGTAAAAGGCGATTAACGTGATCGGGTGGTCAGGCTCGCTGACTTGGTTGATGCATGTCATCGTATCCCTATTGCGTGGATCGAATCTCATGATGTCAATCACTGGATTGTCTGGTCCAGACTCGATTATTTACAGACCGCCGTCATATAGCTGGAATAGTGCTATCTGCAGCGTTAAACAACAAACAAATAAAACAAACATGATGACATAACCAATGCTATTTGTAGTTTTCACCTTACTGATAAAGGTGTGAATGATGATGTTAAAGGTGTCAACAGAGGTGTCAGATTTAACTTGTGCTTTTGATTGCGGTGGTATCTTTCAACATCTTTATGCTCAATCATTAATGATTGTAATGAATGTAATTAATCATGGTCATAAATTTCTGATAGTCTTGGCTGATATTACAGTGGCGAGGAGGCTGATGATGGTGACGATGATAGAAATGATTGGTGATGATGATGATGGTGATGATGATGGTGATGGTGATGCTGATGCTGATCCTGACGAGGCTGCTGTTGCTGATGCCTCTGCTGAATTTAATGATGATGGTGTTTATTATGAAGATGATGGTGATGTTCTGCTACTGCTGCTACTGATAATGATGATTGATGATGATGATGATGATGATGATGATGGTCATGATCACCATAACGACTGATCATGAGAAGAAGAAGATGCCCGCAGTTTACAACGGGTATGGCTATAACCCCATTCACGGAACAACTATTTGCACAATGAATTCTGCTGATGACTTTTTCACCAGAGTGTCGGAACAACGAATGAAGACGTCTCTATACTATCAACTAAGAGGTCAATCCATTTATCAAGTTGTTCTAACGCTCTTATCAAACAAGAATAGTTACCACCATAAGAAACATGTATTGACAATTATCAAATGATTAACCAAATGCACTCGACGTACAAGTGATCTAAAACCATAACTCTCAAGACTCCTGTTTAAATATTTGAACTGCACACCCGAAATACATTCAGAAAGTAATCATCAATTACGCAAATCAAACTCCCCACTTAAGAACCTTCCAGAAGTCAAATAGTAGCCAGGTAGAAATCGGTGCTTGTCAATTTCATGTAGAGCTTCTGTCAAGACGTCTGTCGCTTGATTGACAAGGAGCTTCATAACGCCAATTACATCCTGTGAATATGAGCTATGGGTTCAATATCTCACGTGAAGACACGCAGGGGAGAGGAAATTGCCCGCCTTGATTTTCTTGTACTCTGCGTTGATACTGAATTGTCAATAACGATCGCGGTAAAGGCTTGAATTGGCTCTACTACTTTGCTTTTTAGGGAGAGAAATGGGTCCAAACACATGAATCCAATATTTTTGCTATGCGCATCAGCGTCCGTCTGAGACACAAATACACAGTTCCATTGGGATATCGAAGCAAGACATTTTTGTTACATTTATCCTTTTCGGACTGAGTATACATTTTCAAAAAAAGCCCTCACAATACCCAGACAGGCGATTGCGACATTGCCGACTTCTTCCACGTTAAAGATCGTCCGTTTTTTAAAAAACATAAATTTGTTCGGGTAATCTGCATTCAAAGCTTTCATGTTTTTTTATGGCATAATATTGAAATTAAATTATACCAGACCTCATTATCTGAGATTGTAAGAGAAAATAAGGTTCTGTCTCCCGTCTTTCTACACTGATTTCCCATATGAACAATTACAGACTTCATTACAAGGATACCTGCGTCAGAAAGGGTAACATGACCTATTCTTGTAAATAACTCATTACAAAGTGAAGTTCACTAAAAGAGACAAAAATCTCTCCATAATCATGCGAAATGTTAAAAGTCGATTGTACGATTCCGATTTTATCATAAGCACTTGTTTATGAATCACTATTAAATAGTAATGACACCAGGTGTATCTTGAGCGTGTCTTGATCCATCAGTATTACCTGTCACAAACACATGCAAAGGCAAGTCAATTGTTCACATGAAAAAGCAACAAAACGGGTTTCTGTCTTCTGCGTGCAAACAATCCAACTTCAAAACAAATACACTCTCTCCACATAGGTTAATAAAATATTCATGTACGTCTTCAGATTGAAATTAAAAGAAAAACCTGAACAAAATACCTTTGTAGACTTCCGGATGGGGTGAAGCATTGGCCATGGTATATGTTTTAATTTACACACCTTTACATAAATGTGACTACATGTGAAGGCCATATCTATAACATAAGTGTTACATTTAAGACGAAATTAACATATCTTAAACAGTGTAACGACATAAACATTTAGACAATTACATGATACATTTAATTCTGAGGATGTATATATGTACGTCCATCTAATTCTAAATGTACAATATCTACGTGAATTTATGTCTAAATGTACATCCAAGGCAATTTGGTAAACGTGATGTTTCCTTTGAGTGTAATTGGCTGGCTTTCCAAACCTGTTCTTGGTGCTGTGGTGCTAAGCACTTACGTATGAGATTGCTGTAGAATTAGTTGTCATTAACGTGAAGAGGCGGGGATATTGGACCTCTTGAAAGAAGGAGCAACGGTGGTATATGTGCCTACAGAGGACGCATGTTGGAATCGTGACAGTCGGATATCACATACTCAAAACAGAATGATATTATCCTAAAACAATTACTTTTGAAAATTATTCTAAACATGACTCTTCAGGAAGGAGGTGGAGTACGGCCTGTCATGTCATTGATCCTAGTTCGATTCCCAAATGCGTATGTGGGACACATATTAATGGTATTCCCCGCCGTGAAATTGCTGAATTAGGTAATATCACTGTCTTAAAGAGTCACATGTACTTACATTTCGATAGGCTACGTTGGCAAGGAATACTCGTGTCGTCATATCGCATGGCAGGTGGCAGAAGTATTTGATCATCATGCCGTGTTCGACTGTACACATGAGCACAATTCACATCATCATCGCAAGACCTCTACATCAGACCCCGCTTCACATCATTATCTTCAGCCCCACACCCCCACACCGGAAACCAATCTCACATTATCCAATCCACACCCGCATCGGAACCGTCTCCCATCATCCTCTCCACCCACATCCACACCGGAAACCAATCTCACATTTACCAATCTACACCCTCACCGGAACCGTCTCCCATCATGCCTCCATCCACACCCACACCGGAAACCAATCTCACATTATCCAATCTACATCCACACCGGAACCGCCTCCTATCATGTCTCCACCCACACCCACACCGGACCTCCCTCCCATCATCATCTCCACCCACACCCCCACACCAGAAACCAATCTCACATTATCCAATCCACACCCTCACCGGAACCGTCTCCCATCATGCCTCCATCCACACCCACACCGGAAACCAATCTCACATTATCCAATCCACACCCTCACCGGAACCGTCTCCCATCATGCCTCATCCACACCCACACCGGAAACCAATCTCACATTATCCAATCTGTACCCACACCGGACCTCCCTCCCATCATCATCTCCACCCACACCCCCACACCAGAAACCAATCTCACATTATCCAATCCACACCCTCACCGGAACCGCCTCCCACCATGTCTCCACCCACACCCACACCGGATTTCCCTCCCATCATCATCTCCACCCCAACCCCCACACCGGAAACCAATCTCACATTATCCAATCCACATCCGCACCGGAACCGCCTCCCATCATCATCTCCACCCACACCCCAACACCGGAAACCAATCTCACATTATCCAATCTACACCCGCACCGGAACCGCCTCTCATCATCATCTCAACCCACATCCACACCGGAAACCAATCTCACATTTACAAATCCACACCCTCACCGGAACCGCCTCCTATCATGTCTCCACCCACACCCACACCGGATTCACCTCCCATCATCATCTCCACCCCAACCCCCACACCGGAAACCAATCTCACATTATCCAATCCACATCCGCACCGGAACCGCCTCCCTTCGTCTCCACCCACACCCACACCGGATCCCCTTCCCGTCATAACCTTTACCCCCACACTGGAACACCCTCGCATCATCATCTCCGGACCCACCCCCACACCGGAACACCCCTCCCACCATCATCTCCGGACCCAGCCCAACACCGGAACCCCCCCATGTCCAACTATTTGTGCCATGGCTCACTTGGCGCTTCATGCACACATATGTGCAACCAACCGTACAAACAAGGGCATGTTACTCGTCTTGTCATAAGAAGCGTGGTTCTACCCTCTGATTATTTTAATGCCCTTCAATATAGACAACAGCACATGTGGTTTGGCTTAGGATCAAGAGCCCATGACCAGACCCCTGCAGTGTGCTTCATCACGGGAGCTTGTGGTTACATTTAGTTCTCGAAAACATTGTATTGGTAGTGGAATATATTTAACAATGAATAAGATTCTACTCCTGCTATATTATTGATAATACCAGGTTGCATACTCAACTGAATAAAGCCATCAATATGCATACTCATATTGCTGTTTATTATAAGATATTATTAGCTTAAATATTTCTCGATAAATGGCTTCCTCCATTGTCGCAGTTTTGTTAATAATTGCATCACTGAAATGTTCAGATATCGCAGCGCTCGCTAAACTGTTTAATAATTTCTGAACTGGTGTCAAGAAACCTATTTGCGTTTGAATGTTTAGGGAACAAAGAAACGATTATGAGGTAAATGAAATAAGCCTGATCACAATCTAACATTGAATGTTAATACAGATTACATTTACAAAAGGCACAGCAACGATTGTATTTATTGCGTCATCTGAGCCATTCTAAAACCAGTCTATAAGACCTTCATACAAAGTATCATAACCATTAATATCCACTGCTGTCGTTTTTAACATTACAAACAATGTTAATTTAGCCAGGAAATGTTGATAATCTTCGAATTTATATATACACGATTATGTGTACCTGCACTATCCTTTATTGATATGAAAACATGACTTGGTCCATTAGAGTTACACCTGTCCTACTCTAATTTCTATGACAACAGTATTTGTACTGTTATCCTCGTTACGACATAGGGGACAATGAAAGCACTGAAATGTTGTTTATGTTGTGTTCAATTGGATTGAAAGAATAAGCTCTACAAGCGTGTGGAATCTCATTGGTGTGTGTCATCAGTTCGCCAAATGTTAAACATGGAACTTCGCCCTCGAATTGTCACAAACTACAGAGTGCTCCATGAAGGACAGACTGTTTCTTTCAACAAATCTGTCAGCAATCGTGTCACAGTTGGAATCTACCCCGTAGAGAGACTTATTTGGAAGCGCAAGTCTCCCCAGGTATGTTGATATATTAACTTATTGATTTTAATATGTATTTTATAGTCTATACTTTCGACAAATAGTTTAAGTTGTCTGGTTGACAAAACATGTCACATCTCCGAAAACAAACCATTCAAAATAGGAAATTGACAATCCGCAATGCAGGATCGGTTATTTTATGCATTATAACAACTGGAACTTTTGCGAAATGTACCAAAAGCCTAAATTATTGCGTAAAAAGTCTATGAAACTAAAATAAAAAATTATCAAGATAAGAAGTTCTCTGTTTATGATATCAACCAAAATTTGTCAAGATTTCTGTCCGACTTGCGATAAATTGTACTTGCGTTTTGAAAATCTTCTTGATAATTCCCATAGTTATGCTCATATCAGAAATATTCAGACAAAGAAAAAATATTAAGAGCTATATTTATAGATACTGCATTATGTGTTCATGTAAGATATTTATTAATTATTATGGTTAACGGTTATCCAAACGTGGTGTTTCAATTAATTGTTTTCGTAAATATTATGGGGGCACGGGTGTCCCAGTTGTGTGGGTCTCCGCAATTAGCTGTGTCGACTTGCGTCACTTGGGCACACCAGAAACATACAATTGTGAGTTCGAGTGCCGGTTCTCGCCGAGTATGTTTCTAGCTGGCCAGGCATCACTTCGGGCTTTCCTCCCACTTTAAGCTGACACGCCGTGATATAACTGACATACTTTCAAAACGGCGTAAACCCTACTCACTCACTTACCAACATTATTTAGAATATATGAATAAGATGAATATTTTGTATTGAACATTAACTAATAACTGGATTGAAATCAACTCAAAAACCAAACAAGCCCAAAGGGCTAGTATAAAAATGAAATATATTTATCTGATTATATTTAATGACTACTCACTTCATTGTATTTATATCCTCATGTTCTAAGAGAGGGACCATCAGACATGGAGATTATTAAAATTATGACATACAATGTGTTTCCATTCAACTTATCCCGCGTGTTACCTGAGTGTATCAAATATTAGCTTATTCCTGAGGGAGGTGATATGAATCGAAATTATACTTTTCATTATTTATTGCAGGGTCTTCTTTATCTAGTGAAGTGGGCGGACTACCCCCTAGAAGACGCAACCTGGGAGCCCTCCTGCCACATCCCTGCCCATCTCCTGGAGGACTACAACTGCCCTCCCGTGTCCGGTGAGCGCCTGAGGCTCGCTTCAGCTACTGTTGAGAGGTTACTGAAGACAGCAGTCAAGTCGCCAGGTGGCCAACTATCTGCACACATAGAGCTTGACTTGTACAGACACGCATTTGGTCACCTGCCCAGCTATGACAAGGGGATCCTTCTTGAAAAGAAGGATTTCAGTAAACTGTCTCTGTCTACACACTGGTGGTATACCCTCAACCAACATGGCGAGGGTCATCAGATTAACTTTCCCGTGAGAGTTTCACCGAAGTTGTCGATGAAGAAGATGTGGACGGCGACTGGAGGAGTTTTGACAATGCGGAATGTACCGGTGGAGAAGCTTGTTATGTTTGTCACCAGTAAAGTGTGCAGTTTGAGGACACTGGACTCCTAGTAACAAACACTTAGCATGACCTATCTTTGGCTCATATTCTGGATATTAAATGTGTGTTTGACTAGGTACACGGATATAGCCATGGCAAACAGCAAAGAAGTTAGGGGTACTTCTTTGAGTAGTAGAATTAAGATATCATTTTTCAGTGCGTCACCAACTCCTAAATCAGGCGAAAAATGTCTCTTTTTAGAAATTTCCCATAAATGTTTGCGAGAAATAGACAGTTACTCAACCGCACATCCGGATTCAACTTTCGTGGACATTCTAAATGCAAATCTACATGTAATACAATTACAACAATCCGTCAGAATAGAAAAACGCATACGCGTAACAATTTCAAAAGTAAACTCAAAATTCAAAAGGCTTACTGGTGTGAAAAAGCAGGCATACGTAAAGCAGTCTTACAAATTAGGGTTATTAGAGAATGAAGTTGTAAATGCTAGGCAAATGAGCGAGACTGTTGTGGAGCCTGCTGAAACGCCACCTCAAACACCACTCAGTCAGAGTAGACAGTTTGACGAAATGAGCAAACGCCAGGCCTACAGAACCCTGAACAATGTTCAGGCATCTACATTAAAGGCATTAGATGTCGTTAGAACACTTGGACTTACACCAACTAGTCTCAAACTAAAGTCATCAAAGGGGGAAAAAATTACTATAAATTATGATCAGGAGGAATCAGTAGATGGGGAAAGAGAAAATTTGTCGCAGATCTTGTTTGTACTTGATAAATTTGGGGTAAGTGACTCAACTTATCATGAAATTGCCCAGATCAACAAAGACCTGCCCAGAGTCGGGGCAGTTGCAGAATATAGAGCTAAACTGTCACGCGAGTTCAAAATACATAGAGTACCAGGCAATGTCCCAGGAGCAGTGATGAGTTTTAAGAAAGAGCTAGAATCTCGCGTTGGGGAGTACTTAGAGTCTAGGCCAAATGTGGAAAAAGTTAGAATAAAGTTTGGTGGGGATGGGACAAGAGTTAGTAGCCTCTCAAATTTCGTTGTTTTCTCATTCAATATCATAGATGATGCAATCAAACAATCATCAGTAAATCAATATACGTTAGCAATCATCAGCTGCAAAGAGAACTACAGCAACCTTAAAATTGCTCTGGTCCCATTGTTCGAAGAAGTCAACTCCATCGTTAAGGACAAGTTCATCCAAATTGGGGACAGATGTGTAGAGGTGGATATTTTCTTTGGGTCTGATATGAAAATGATTCAGTTAGTTTTAGGCTTAGGGGGTTCGACGGGAAATTATGCGTGTCCACTGTGTAAAGTACACAAAGACGACCGACACAACATGACGCATGACTGGATGTATTTCTCTACCGACCCTATGTGCAGGACAATTGACGAGATAAGATCTCACTCAGATAAGCTTCAGTTCGGCGTTCAACACACACCACTGTTTGAAATTGCTATAGACAACTTTGTCCTTGACGAGCTACATCTGTTGATGAGAATCACAGACGTTCTGGAAAGACTAATCATTCAGGATGGGGTAGCAAGGGATAAAGAGTTAGCAAAATTAAGGCAAGGGAAACCTAAATATTTGGATGGGATAGTAGAAAGCATCAGAAGTTGTGGGGTGTCGTTTTATGTATGGGAGGATAGGGACAGCAAGGGTCTACAGTGGACCAGCCTTTCAGGGGACAACAAGAAAAAAGTTCTCAATCAACTGCCTGACAAACTTCACGGTCGACTAACTCCAGACACGGAGACAGACTTAATCAACGTTTGGACAGGGTTCAGGGACATTTTCAAGTTCGTAGTTGGCGGGGAAAGAAGTGACGCACGACAGTTGCACGACATGGCTAGGGAGTGGATACAGTTACTTCTTAGAGTAGGGGAGAAAAGGAGGGGCTGCTTGAAAAAGAACATCACTCCCTACATGCACTGCTTAGTGTACCATGTTCCCGTTTTCATGTCGAGGCACGGGAATATTGGCAAATTTAGTGGACAGGCCCTTGAAAAAATAAATGACGATATCAAAAGGATTCACCAGCAGAAAACACAAAAGTGGGACGGTCCCATTGAGACTATGACTGTCAGAAAGCGTGTTGAAAGTCAGTCACACTTGGCTAGGACAAAACGACCTTACACAAAACGTAAGCTTGAGTACTGGGAATCTGA